ATCTGGCCAGACAGTGAACGTGTTAATAAGTAAATGTTCATCAATATGTTAAGAAAAATTGCGGGATAAAAGAACGTAAAATTAAAAAAGTTGGTATTTAAATCGCTTGGTTGCCTCGACTCACGTTTCATCCTTATCTTTTATTCGCTGTCCTTGTCTACGTTCGGCAAACTACAAAGGCGGGCGCGAGGCTCGAAAACGTAGTCCCTGACTCTACGAGTGTCCGGTTTAGCTTCCTTGCGGTCTGACACTTGTGGAGAATATACTGTATTCATCACACAAGTTCCAATATAAATCTTACAATGCTGCAACGGAATTACTTTTTCCTCGCTTATCGCAACTATAAAACATACTTAACCACTTAACGCTCATGCTCGTATCTCAGACGTGCACAATTAATCGTGCAATTTTATTTTATCATTTTCTTTCATTTTCCATATTGCCTTATCTTTTATTTCTATCACGGCAAAACAACTGAGTTACAGCACTATAAATCGTGGTAAACTTATTTCTACACACTTAGAAAACAATTAAAAAAAAAAAAAAGAATAAAATTGATCGTTTTCAACAATGGACGAAATTTCTCAGCTGCGAATAAAAATTAAGAACTGCAATTCGTACGTTACGAATGAAAGAAAGCAGGCTTGTTCTAAAGCTCCGTAATAGCTTCTAATAACGTAACCACGCAACGGAAGAAAAATTAGCGAGAAAGCAGAATGAATGCAAGATTCCTCTTATTACTCGACAACGTCAACGGGCAAATTGCAAAGAACGTTGCTAAACTTCCGTGAGCCAAGGCAATGGGGGCAAATTAGGGCGCGAACCGACGCCTCTTTCAACTCGAAGATTTGCATCGGCCAATTTCACTTGCAAATTGATCATCCGTGTTTCGCAACCACGCAACGCGCGCCAAAAGTGTCCGTAAAACAAACGGCAACTAGCCGACTGTCACAAATCATCTTCTAAATCATTTCTGCGTTTGTGTTTCTCTGAAATTTCACAATTCGTCGATTTGGAAGTGTTTTGCAACGAATGCATTTTGAATTACGAAAAAATAATGAAATAAAATAATACGAAAATCGAAGTTGCGATAAGTATTGCTTTCTGAAGACTTCAAAAATTCTTCTAGTATACGCTTCTTTCTTTCGTACACATTTTAACAACGCCAGCAATATTACAAACAAATCAGAAAAATCGATCGGTCATTTTATGCTATATTTTTCCACTTATCAACTTGCTATCAGAAGTGACAATAACGTCTACTTGTTATTAAAATTACACGTGGTAGATATATTATTAAATCTCACTAGACAGTTCAAATTATCAATTCAAATTTTCCGTTATTAATCACCTCACAATTTCACTCACTATTTCTATCCACATAATAATATACACAGAAACTATTGAATACACCAATATCAAATGCATAATACAGCAATTTTCCTTCCGTCAGAATGTTGCTGTGTCATAACTCTATAAAAGATTGAAGAAGATATTTCACGAAACTACGATCGAACCAATTACATGGAAATTGCACGGCACAGTCGTGAATAAGGGAAAATTACTGTCTTCTTCGAAAACGAAAAAAAGAAATCAGAGCTTAATTCATTGAACGCTCTATTGCCTGTTTCTCAGTGATTTATCGCTGTCGTAATTCACATGGTTCGACCAGCATTTTATCATCGATCGAAAATGGAATCTCCACTTTTACGTATACATACGATTCTCTACCTGCCCGTTACATTACTAGAAATTTCGCCATTGTTCCGTAATTCGAGACCGCAATCCACCCTCTTATCGTTTCGCGATCTCGCGGAAGATCGTAAAGCCATCAACGGCAGAACGACACATGTTCGTTCCGTGTGAAATGTTCCTTCTAATTGAAAAAAATTGCTGTGTTCTTTACGATCCAACGATTCACGTGGATTTAGTTGAATTTTCTCATCGATAAATGAATTCTATTTAAATGTTCTATTTTTTTTAAACACCTTGCCTTGTATACGAGCCAGACTCATGGTCACAGAGTACAGTAGTTACATTCGCAGGAAAGATTAAATTTAATTCCAGTTATAGTTTTGACTTATAAATTTGAAAATTGCCAAATGTCAATAGTGTACAATATTTGAACTAATGATATACAATAGTTAACGCTTGCTTGCATAGCTATCAAAAAAATCGTAAGACAAGGGGTTAAATTTACGTCAAATATTCTTCAAATCCCTATATTTACCTATAAAATTTCCTCCAAATTAATTTGCATAGCATTTTAGCATTCTTTGTAAGAGTACAAAAATTCAGTGCCTAAGAAATTAAATTTTTAATTATACAATGTTCAATGTTCAAATTTCATCAAACCAGAAGCAAGCGAATAAATAGAACTGTCGAATCAGTAGAAGATTGATTTGAACACACTATCTAGAGTCTGTAAAGAAGAGAGAAGGAGAAATAGTTTCTCTTATTTCCAAGGTGTTAATTATTACCATTTACCGTGGCCGGCGCATTTTTTCCGTCCATCGAAATCACGGACGCCCCTAATCTCTCCCTTTGAGACACGTAGCAACGCCCCCATTCGTCGGAAGGGTAAGAAATTTCGCGACGGCATCGGCCAATGGCACAAGGGTATGCAAATCGAAAGCCATTATGCAAAAGTCCCGAACGTGACACGATGTATGGTAAAAACGGCGCTTCCGAATAATCGTTCGCGAAATTAATCAATACAAGCAGGGGAACACGGGATGCAAAAGAGGCGGTACACCCGCGAGTATAAATCAGCTGGCTCGATGCGAAACCAGCGGAACGTTGTTCCTTCATTCTTGTCCCTATTAATTTCACCTCGTCGCAGAATTTATTCTCCGGGATTTTTAAAGGGACACGTCAGATCACTCGGTAGAAACGCAAAGTAAGTGTTCGTTAACGCGTTCACTGCCGATCGAATTTTTGGTATTTAATTATGCTATAATTTTCGTGCTAAGTGGAGTTTTTATATTGTGAAAATTTTCTTCAAAATTTCCTGAGTTTGACGTAGATTTGACAAGATTTATGATCTGACGATGTTTAGGGAATTACATTGTAAAAATTAATTTCATCCCTCAAATATGAATTATAGCAATAATCACAAGAGTAGATAGTTACCGGAGTAGAATAATAACGTCAACTACATACGACACAAGCATAAACACATCACTTCGTTTCCTTTTACTCGAGACAAACGTTTCCCACCCTCGGTAACTTAAATCTCGCTCACCGAACCGCTAAAAATTCCAATTTCCATTGCAAATATCTCGATAATTTTATCCAACATACTCCGCGAAAGCTTACGAGCTTTATGTAAATCCTCCAATTCGCGAAAGCGCAAGAATACTTTTACCATGGTATGTTTGATCTGAAACTTAGCCGAAGTTTCGAAATAGCGGGAAACTTTGACTAAGCTGTTCCCCGAAAATCAGGGCCAGTTAACTTGCGGTGAACGAACCGTTTTGAAATTGCCGGCGAGAACACTTGGGGAATGTTGATGTGTTATCGAAGTTTGCAACAGAGGCGCGTAAATACCAAAACTAATGAACAGACAGTGCATTATGGGGGAATCTCACGAAGGATGTAGCTTGGTCTAATACTTAGCGGGCTTGGTTACAATCACAAAGCTGTATCCATTTGAATATGTTGGTCTCGAAAGGACACCGTAGCTTTTCAGTTGAGGCAACCATGTTGAATTTATACATTTCTCGAGGGTAATCTGCAAAATTTTATTACAGCAAGTTGGATAACCTAAGTTTAAGTCCGACAAGTTTATATTTCGAATTGTCGCTGAATTAAGAACGAATATTTATGTTTTGTTATGTGTTATAAATTCGTGTCGAATTTTATAATTTAGATCAATATTTCCAGAAAATAAAGAGCAAGTGAGTTCTCGTTCCACAATTGTTCCGTTTTTTGTTTCTGATAAGACGATTATGTCGTCGCTATATTAATTGGATTTTCGTTAAAATTATTGTGGTTTGAATAGATATGAAAATGAAATGCATCGTTTGTAAAATAACAATCGCCAATTTTACGTTAAAAATTGAACGCTGGAAGCGTTTAAGTGGAAGATTCTTCAATCGGAACATTTTAGGAAAACAAAACTAATTTGCAAATATGATCGTTTACTTTACTGGATTATTTCAAGGAATTTCAAATGAAATTTTACCGCGTTTGATACTTTAATTCCGTGGAACTTTTCCACCGTAAATTGCAGAAATGCTGAAAGCCGTACACTTGAAAAGCGGAACGAATTTTAGTAAAGAATTAAAGAAGAGATATGTTCACAACTGTTCCGACGTTAAATTTATAAAATGTAATTCTCGCAGTATGTTTACGTATTACTTATATTAATTCATAAATCATAAATGATTCTCGCGAATTATAAATTTAGACGCATCGAAACGTTTAAACGCTTTTTAACGATACCTTTAAAATCGCTAATACAAATTCTTCACAAATGGATGCCCTTCGTGGAGCTTCGTATCTCCTCAAAATAAAGAATCTCCAAACTCAGACAGAAATAGTCGGGAAGGTCCTTTAAACCTCCATCTCACAAAGTCCTTATCATCGACCAACACCACGAAGAAGAAAAATTAACTAATCCCTTAACGTTTATATCTGTGTTTCACTTCCTTTCTCCTTCACTTTCCATATTCCGTTATCCTTTCTATTATAGTTATTATACGCCTAGAAAATAAATTTCCCATTATTTGGGAATTATTCCCACTATTTCAGAAACAATTATTAACTATTTCTACACGCCTAGAAAGTAATTTAAAAAAAATCAAGTTGACAAAAATACGAGCATTAAGGGGTTAACAGCGATACTCAAAAGAGCACCTAACCAACGAAATGTCCCTTGTTCCCAGGGTTGGAAAGACGAGGGACGGTGAAGCGGTTTCTGCTGAATAAAAGATCTACCGGAAGCAGCGGCACGCCGCAACACACTTCCGGCACGTCCACAGATACCGAACTGACGACCTTGGACACCCACGAACTTTGGCTTCCAGAGAGCGAGCCACCACCTTCGGCTATGTCCGCGCTTCAGGCGTTTGGCGCCGAAATGCTCAAGTTATCCAGGGGTCTCGAGGGCATAGCGAGCCCTGGCAGCCCTACTCCGATGGCGACGCCAAGATCAACGCCACAGCACTCTGTCCAGCATCATCAACAGTCCTACCGGTGCAACTTTCGCCATGGGTAAGGCTGTAGTGGTGATTCGCTGACGTGTACCGTGCGGCGCTCAGGAGTTTGCCCTCGGGGCGAGCGGAGTGCCCTTTTTGCCCGTGTGCTGCCCCGCGGGCAAACTCCTGAGCACCGAACGATACTATGCAGAGATGAGAAGTTGGCTAATGTAAGGAACACGGGTCTGAGTGATTATAGTGTAGTAGAACTATAACGTATAGTTCTCGTACACAGTCGTAAAGGCAGGGTACATACACTTTATTATTGGCTAAAAATGTCACGTGTACCTGCTAATTGGGTCATGTAGCATCGCATGACAAAGAGAGTATATGGGGCACGTCGAAATTGAACGGAATAAGGCGATGAACTTGGAAATATTGGCGTAAACGTAGATTTAGAGTGTATCCTCCGTCTTGAAACGTATCTAGCGCGGATATGGAAATTCTACCGATATGTCAGCGCGGGCCGCCGAAAACGAAAAGGAGAAGACAGACGGAGGCGAGCGAAATCTTCTCATCTCTGCATACCACTTTCTAACTGGTTTTAAAGGAAACTTTTACGCGGAAAGGTTATTCGGAATCGGAATCACATTAAACGTAATTGGAGAATTACAAGACAGTGAAGAATAGCACGTTCTTCTTCCGTTGAAAGGATTGGTAGATTAAGTAGGAATTCCGCATTTTTAGCAGACAGATAACAGTTTCTTTCTTAGAAATTGCAGGACATCCAAACAAGATCTCTCGATAGCAATCATATATTCAAGAATGTTTTAATTCTTCACAGTTATCGAACATTCAAGTCTAAGTGAATTTTGAAATATATACGCGGAAAAAAATCCTCGAAGAGTACAGTCGTTCCAATTCCAGCAGAAACAGAATCCCTGCGAGTTACGGCGAAAGATAAAATATGAGACGTAGAGGTTCTCGCGTGACAGATCGCCTATCGATCCTCCTTTCAAACGATAAACACGACTGTCACCGCGGCGGACTGCATCCAGAGCAAAGATATTCTCTCTGAGAGAACACTGGATCGTGTCGCGATTTACGAACACCCTTCGCGATTCTCTTCGGAGGCTCTGTCGAACGAGTCCGATGTCATGCGCGACAGATTTATGACGGCCGCGGAATAATTTCGGTTCTTACGCTGCCAAGTTTTTCCACGTCGCGTATTCTCTACTGAACATTGACTGAAGCATATCGATATCTCGGATTAAAGCCAATTTTACTCCGAGTAAAATTTTTCTGCCGATACGAAAGGTGGGACTTGAGAAGTTGATATACGACAAGCAAACTGCGGATTTTTATGCATTTGCAGGAAATTCAAAGATACAACACTGCACAGAATGCACGTAATATACAAAATATCCAAATTATAGTGCTTGTCATAGTACCCAGTAGGTAAAATAATTTTCTACCGACTTTTTCTACTGTATTCTCAAAAATATGAATTTGCATAAAAATCCGCGGTTTAAGACGTCGAACGATGAAGGTTTCGCAGAGTAAACAGTTGATCAGATTGTGACATACAATCGTAATGCAATAAGTATTCTTCAAATACTATAAAACAACGTACCTTTTTAAATCAGCATCGACCTCTCCAAAGCGGTGCATTTATTTTTTAGGAATTTTGTAAGATTTTCCGAGGATTTTAATTGCAAAATATCACAGAAGCTAAGGTTTTCATCGAAGAGCCATCGCTACGAAAACACTACACTTCCAGTTTTCATTTTCAATGCAATTTTCGTTCGCCCACCGACATCGTTGTTCCATTTTCCTCGGGAAATAAGCAAAAATAAGAATGTATTGGGGGTAACGAGGCAAAAATGAAGATAGGAGACATATGCAGGCTTAGAGATACCGAATACTGTCTGGCTTTTTCACAGAAATCCTTAGCTTGACAGAACTGCGGGATTACTAAAGCTCGTCTTAATTTCTCAACGTGCAGAAACGTCGGTGGCTGTGGTTTTTTGTCCCAGAAATAATCATCGAGCACGTCGTACAGTCGCTACAAGTAGAATTGTAAATAAAGTGCTATGCGAATTATAGGATCGAGTTAAAATAGAATCGACTTTTGGAAGCTTTGCATTCATCCTTCACGAATTCTGTCAGATTTTCTACGGATTCTAACTCCGGAAAAATTTCAAATTTGATCTCCTATCACTTCCACCTATCACCATTTTTATAATTTTCACTTTCAATGCGATCTTCGTTCACCTATCATACCGTGAGTTAGATATACGACGTCTCGAGTTCAAGTTTATTCGCGATGTCGCACCGATTCGACATGCTACATTGAGTTTCGATATCTGGGGACTGTGCCAGGTTCGAGTATCACCAGTCGCGATCGATTCAAACGAGAACCAAAATGGGAACATATCGAGACGCTTAATTTGGTTAATATCGCAAATTATGTTACACGCACACCGTCGGCCGAAAGTTTCGAATCACCTGCCAATTTGCATCAATATCGAATCTGCTTGAAATTGATGCTGCGGAGATCAATATCACTTTACCTTATTTCTTAAATTTCTTAAAATTGCTAACTTTTCTTTGGAAATTTTCGTGTAACTCGCAGTGCACAGTGATTCCAAGCATTTGGCTGGGAATTTACATATGTTGCCCAGTTTCCAGTTGTTTAAAATTTCCTTTTTCCCCATTTCTAAACTGAAAAGTAGAATTTCAGAAGAAAAAGAATTCGAGGCAGTTAATATTGTATAAAGGAAAATTATGGAACAAAATAGACGTCAATTATCGACATTTTCGCGAAAGCGTGAAATTACCTTCCAAAAGCCAGGAAATCTGAAAATAACAGTTATCCGACATCAAAACCCGATTTCACAATCGGCGCAAGAAAGTTCGACCATCTGGTCACAAATACAATGCAGTCTGTCGAGTTTAATAAGGACAAAACGAGAAGCTCGTTCGATTTCTGGACACTATTCTCGATCGTTTCACCAGTTTCAGCTGTTCCGTTCCAACTCAAGGCCGTCGACGTTCTTCAATGTTCCACCTATCATCGTCTGATTTACTCTCAATATTGTCGCATCTGTTGAGTCTCGAATCAGTTCACGATTTTTACCCGGCAAATTCATATTTTTACCGAGTGTTTCAAAGATAAAGTGTTTCAGTGATTCTGTCATTGTCCCAAACTTCCTTTGAAACGTTCGAGGATATTTCACGTGCGACTCACGGAAGCATAATCATTATCATTATCGAGGCTTTCGGGCGTAAAGCCGCGTCCTCAAGGAGAGATTTCTCATTATCAGCGTGTTTCCCGAACTCCGATGAACTGAGCTCGCAAAGCTTACGAAACGTCGGAATATTCTCTCCGTAAGGATACGATTTACCACCGAAAGCCTCGGTAATAGTAATAATTACACTCCACGCCGTGGAAGCCTTAAATCTTCCAGTCAAACATCGTCGTTACACCCTATTTTATTTCAGTAAAAAATTCGAATTACCAACTCTAACAGCCATCGCGGGAACAATTTCAGCGTGCTCTTAGCGCGCTTTTTCCTGAAAACAGCAGAACGATGGCTGATGTGCCGGAAAGTTTGCCAACGGGAATTTCCGCCAAGTTCTGACCTATCGATTCTGTGCACCATTAGAAACACGTGTCGAAGTTACCCTTTAGGAAACTCTCTCCATTGTGGCTATTGAAATTGAAGAAAATAAAATTCTACGAGCATTCGGAAGAAACAATTAATTTCTCCCGGCGAGAAATACCGGAAAAATCTGAACTTTCTTCTCTTCGCAATTTCTCTTATTCGACATTTGGTAAATTTACCTTTTTTATCGGTTGAGATTTATCGTCACGTTAAACAGAAGTGGGAAAGTGTTCGTAGAAACCGTACGGCGAACGAAACGCAACGAGCCTGTTTGTTCCATTTAGAACGGAACATCGAATGACACGTAAAGTGGTGTGACAGAGTTTGCCATGTAGTTAGGGCGTTATTCCCGCCACGGAGATTGGCTATTCGTTACCGTTCCAGTTCTGACAGCGAACCCGAACGAGGAATTCAGTCGGATTTTCCTGGATCGAGAAGGAAAGGTTGACGGGAAAATTCAGTCCTGATCATAGATATCGCATAATGGAACCTTCGCTGTAATTAATGAACAATGCAAAGTGCTCGGAGGCAAAGATTAACGTAACCGACGTCAGAGATAAATATGTAAAAAAGAAAAGGTCGAAATGAGATATATTTTCGAGTATGAAGTTAGTTTTATCTTTAAAAGAAGATTTACTACTTTTCTTTCTTTTCTTTTTTTTCAATTTTAAGATAGAGCTTTGGAGATGCAAATTTCGTGGACCTTAAATCTTACGTTCTTGAACTTTTTAATGCAGGTTTGAGTGTTTCTTTGGAAATCATCGACTGAAGTGGGTTATCGTTGTAGATTATACACATACCTGGTCCACCTGTTGACTTATCACGAAGCGAACTATCTATTCAAAGAAGGTTAAAGGATGCTGTATGAGATTCTTAGCGAGAATGGTACTTTTACTTGGTGATCAAATTTAAAGGGCTATTTCTCTAAACTTGATGCAATTATCCAAATGAAAAATGCTGGGTACGTACTTTTGGGTCTTAGCATTGAAAAAAGTAAATATTGTCTTTGAATATTTCACAAATTCGATTTTTAATTCAACAAACATTCGTAAAACGCTACAAATCCAGACAATTGTGTCGTTCTGTTCATCACTGTGGTACAGTCTATGTCCAATCATAATATTTTTATTTTTTATAATAATACAATCCAACGGCAATTTTAACACACTTTTGCAGTGAATTATTTATTCGTCGACTTCGAAAACAAAATTTATTTATTTTCCTTTCCCCAATTTTCTTCATTTTAATAAAACTCGAATAAAGTCACGGTGCACATTACGAGCAGCACCAATTGCTAATAATCAGCTTTAGAAACACATTTATTCAATCGTCAATATTCGCGAAGAAAAATCTTAGTCCAATCGCAAGTTCCGCTCCGACGATATATTCAACCCAATCCCAAGGATTATCCACCTTTGAATTTTTAATTCTGCCCCTGTGAAGGATGGGAACTGGCAAATAAGGATAGGGTGAAAATACGGGGGATCCTTTACGCGAATTTACTCCAACATTTCTGGATCTCGTTCTACGGAAAATAAATGAACTATGTTTCCGCGAGTTACATTCAGAAATGTAACATCGCCGCTTCGTTTGTATTCGCGAAGAACTTCCAGCGATGCTAATTCCTAACGAATAAAATTGCGAGAATTTGAAGAATTGAGAATCGAATAACGGAAGTATTTTGATATGCGGGAAAATTGTGATATTCGTCGAAGACAACTTTTCCTTTATCGAATTAATTCAGATTGCAATTTTTTATGGAAGCACACTTTTAGATAGGGACAGTTTGAAGTATCGGCGGATATGTGAAAGGTTCGAGAAGGTACGACAAAATAATAAGTGGAGCTTTCGTGGTATTATTAATTATTTGTGGAAATTCGAGTTTTATTTTCATCTTTCGAGAATCGAAGTTGTTAAATATGAACACGTCTGAATATCGAACAAGCTGAGGTTCTTAGGTGTTCGTTGAAATTTTAACGGAAGTGCTTTATTAGACCGAGGAATAGCGATTTTCATGGTAGACTGCTCGATATTACAATCGTTACTTTCCACAGAAAACAAATGAAAAATTAACGTATCTGTTTCCTGATTCTCTCATCGATTCCTATGGCCTACTCACATTTTGCCTTCTTTCACGAATATTCTACGCTTAAACAAAATGCACTGCTCTACTTCGTCTTTTTTCTACGTTACACTTGTAATTGCACGTCGAATTCAACCACTCAGCTTCGAAACGACGTAGAATTAAAGTACAAGCTGTTCGCCACAGTGATAAAGTTTGATCAATGGTGGACGTTAAACGAACGACTGGCAATGTAAAGCAAATGAAACAGCGATAAATATCAAATACGCTATTACAGACGAGGGTAATGGTGTGAAACGCATAATCTAATCGAAGAGACGTAGAACGTAACGATAGTTTTTTAAATTTCACGCAACGAGACGATAAGTCGATTCGAAGATTCTTCTCTGGTGAATTTAATTATCAAAAAATTTGTTCCACGTGAATTTCATTCTTCCACGCTTAACCCTTTCGCTTCGGCAGATTTTTATTTCAAAATTTCTTTTATAAAAATTGACCCCTTGCATGGTGACACTCGTAATGCATATTATTCGCGTTAAAACAAAGGGAGTCAACGGGAGAAATTAAAATAAACAATTTCACAAAGATTTCAATTTCGATGAAAATTTCGGACTTTCGGAGGTTTCGCTGCGAAAGCGGGAACTGAGAAAAATGCTGGGTGCGCAAAGGGTTAAATACGCGACGGATAAAATTGGGGTGAATGTGCAGCGAAAGGCGCGAAAATTGTACAACGCGAGGAAATTTTCAAAGCGCCGATAGCAATTAAAGGGTTAAGGACGCTATCACAGCTCTGTCAGCAAGAACCTTTTGCTGTTTCTGTAGTAAAATACGCCGAACGAAGATCGTGCTGGTGAGAACCTCTTTACCTTTCCTCTAGACGAGGTTATTTTAACAGTTCGCGATGAATTATAACCGTGTTACAGAATTGTTCCGACTGCGTCGAGTAGAATTGGAAAACACTTGTTCCAAGTGGAACAGCTTTAAAAAAGGCGTCCAATTAGTTTAGTAATTAATATGTGAAATTTAAAATTAATTAAAGACTTTTCTTCGAGAGTCTGTAATTATTCGGAAGTTAAATCGCGCAAAAAAACTTTTCGAAGGGGAAACAGTTTGGAAAACCAGAGATTAATCTACAGAGGCATTCAGCAAGCATTTGTTTGCTAAGCGACAACAAAAGTTACCTTACGATAAAATTTTCCATTCTTTCTTCCGGTGGATTACGAATCTAGATTTTTCTCTGAACTTCTGAATCATTTCTCCACGATTTTTCCATCGACTCGAAATCGAGGGTAGACAAATTTCAGAAAAAATGATTTCCAAAACAAGTGTCGCGAGAGTCGTGAATTACGTTGTCCAACATAGAACAAAGAATCCTCTTTTGTTTAATGGAATTATCGTTTCGAAAGCTCCAGCGTGAATTAGTAACACGTAGAGAGTGAGAAGGTGAAGTGGCGAGAAAGCTTTTCCGAGAGGAGCAGAAAAAGGCGGCGACACAGTTTTCAGAACAATTACCACGCACGACGAAGTCCTTCTGAAGGTCTAGGTCTTCAAAGAGCGTCACAAATTGACGAGCCACCCAGTTCGATGCTGCGACATGAATCCTTTGTGGAAATGGCTAAGTGCATTCCTTTTATTAGAGTGTCTCAGGTAGGGCAGAGCAGTTTACTTAATGTAGCCACGGTAATGTAAAGCCATCGGCTCGTTTCGCACTTTGAAT